AAAATCCAAATTTTGTTTTGCTGTGACAGCTGGATAGGCCCTGACCTTGCCATGGAAACTGAATGCTTCCACAAGTTGTTCTGTTCACTGCAAGGGGAAGGTGAGCAGAGATGGTCAGTACAGAGTACTGAGCTCTGTCTCCATGTTTTCTGTAACTTCAGGAGTTCTAGGATGGCCAGTTTGTTCCTCTTTGTAAATCCTGTTGTAAAGCAACTATCACCTCCCTAGCTACTACCTGTTTCACAGGGCTATATAGCAGATTCAGAAAAAAATCCAAAAACCTCAATTTCTGAAAAGTATTCAAAGTAATAAAAGATGAAAGTTTAACAGCATTACATTTCTGATCTGAATAATTTTTATTGATATAGGTTCTTAAATTGCAGTGCAGGCTGGCTTCCATCCTGTAGCAATCCTTCTGCCTCATGCAATTATAGGTCTGTGCCACCCTTCCCAGCCCTGAATAAATCTTTTTAAGTGAATGTGAGGTAGGAAATTCTCATCAAAAGCAAAATTTCAAAAATACATTTTTTTCTGATGCATTATCAAAAAGAAACTTCAAATAGACATAAAGAGGTATACAAATTCATCTAAAATCCTATGGAGAGCCAAATCCAACTCTCAATGTATTCCACTCAACCTTCACTGTAATAAATATTTATTGAATATATACAATATACAAAAGCACTAAACCAATGCTTTAAGACTGAAAATTAATCTTTCCCCATATTGTCCTGTTCCTCCTCAAATAAAAGTTCATTGTTTACCTAGAACACAGAAGAACAAAATAATTTTTCTCTGTCATGCCTTTCTGGCTTTATGGAAAACTTCAGTTAAACAGATACTAAGAGACAAGCTCATGTACTAGTTTCCACTGACCAGCACGAGCTTTCTCATGAGTGACTGAACTTTCATGATGACCTGATTCAACCAAACTGGCACATGACATAGAGAAAATAAGGAGCCATGTGCTTTTCAATTGTAGTTAAAGAGTTGAATTATACTATCAGGGAAAGCAGGAAAACCACGACCATGTGGTTTGGAAATCAAGAACAATGGAACAGAAACAATCCCAATAACTGGAAATAACTTGGGCTTTCATGGGTGCCCTGCCATATTAAATCACACATGGTTCTGCAATACAAGGAAAAATTAAAGCCTGTCTCATGCCTCACTTCTGCCACTGACTGAGCTTGAAGAAGAAAATTAAGATAATCTTTTTATTCAATCAAAGGCAAAAATTACATTTTGGACAGTTAACTGAATAAGCCTATTAATGTGGGGTACAAGAACCGCTTAGCAATTAGCCAATATCCTAACCCAAATGATTATTCACAAGGCATTTCCAGACCTCCTTAAAACTGTATTGGTATTAGTTTGATAGAGTAAATTGTTCTGATACATAATTCTTTGTGTGTCTACTAGCCTGCCTCAGGTTAAAATTAACCTGTTCTTACGAATAGAATCAACTAATTCCCAAGACCAGCTTCTTTCACTTTAGATAACTTATTTTTCTGAAAGACACTGAACCAATGTCCTTCAACAAACAGACTACACTGAGTGATGTGAACTGACCCTTGTGTCCAAGAATGGGGCAATAAAAGGTATACACAAACCTCAAGGCGAATGAGGGCATACTCACTATGGCCTAATCACACATTAAAAACATTCATAGAACATCAAAGGAAATTTTACATTAAACTTCCGTTCCAGATGAACAGCAAATCACTATCTAGATTTCTGTTATTCAAATTCAAGCAGTAACAATAGGCAATGTCTTCACACAAAAGGAAAATTAGAACAGCCAGCTCTATGTCCCATAGTACAAGCACACATACACATATTTTCCCCCCTAAAACTAAAAGTAGATCAACTTACATGGCTCTCTGGCAATGAACTGAGGTACAGTGTTGGGCAGAGGAGTACTGGGATTTGGAGTCCCTACTAGTTTGTTCTTGGCCATCTTCGTGTTTGCCTTAGCAAACTCTAGTCGTAGTGTTTGCGGAATTTCAGGATCGAAGCGGATGCCCTTTGGAAATAAAGAACAAATGGAAGATGTTTTCATTTCCTTAGAGTCAAACCGGAATGGTGACAAAATAAACACTCCAGTAAACCCTGGCCTATCAGGAAAAAAAGGTCAGCAAGTGTCCTCATTCTCACTATTTACTCAGAATATACGAAACCCCACAATACACTGTATCTAAAAAATTGAGTTACATGGACTTTCACCTGTCCCTTTTCTTTTTAGAGAAAAACTTTCAAGTTGTAAAACTGAAATGGGCATATTCCTGCACAATTAACAACTATGATGGCCATTAATGAAAATGAACAGTATGCATACTGACAAACAGAAAGAAATACTGTGTTAACACTGGAGAAGAGATCCGAAATCCTGAGGCCTGCTCTCCAGTGTTACAAATAGAACAACTCCTCCATGTTTTTAGTTTTACTACATATAGAGAAAAAGAATCCCATTTCAGTCTGACACAGAGCTCAACAAAGGTAATGTTGCAGATAGCCAAATTAGATAGAAATATTACGGGCAGTCAGACAGGGCCAGGCCCTCCAAGGAGATAACAAAGGAGACAAGAAACCTTACAACTGTGGGAGGGACCGAGGCTCCTGCTGTGAGACAGAGACCAACAAATGCTAACCTCCCTAAAGATTAGCATCCCTGATCGATCATTACCCTGAGAAAGCCAAAAAGAATTCTTATCTGATGGCTACAAGATAAAGTCCTGTTTTACATTCACGGCCCCTTGCTATGTGACTCTCTTCCCCATTTGCTCCCAGATTTAATCAATTTTACCTGAGGAATGATGCTTGTAATCTCATTGGTTGACCATAGTTTTGCCCCACCTCTTGTCCACCTAAGCCAGTTCCCATTTTTTCCACCTTAGCCCCACATGGTTTTACACTATAAAAGTCCCTGGAAGAGACAGCTTCTGTGGGAACAACCTGCTCGGGCTCCCCACCTGTCCCTCTCTCAGACAGGATCTTTCTTTCCCTCAATAAATATATTCTGCTCATAACCTCCGTCTGCTCTTAAAATTCATTCTTAGGTTTTAGAGAACACGAACTCATGCAGGTCAGGTCGGGAGATCATTTTTCCCCATGTCATTTGCAGGTTCCCTGTATCATTTAGAAGTCACCCACCTGAGATCAGTTTTTGTCCCTGTATCTGTAATATACGTAATTCTCTTCAAAGACAAGAATAAGATGCTTGCATGATTTCTACTATAATTAATATCCTTTATCTTAGCTTAATTTACAAAACCTGAACGGCTTATGTTATAAAATCCTGATTTTACTACGCTTGGCTTACAGGCTACATGGACAAAGGATTACACAGGCCAAAGAAATGATAGTAAATACTAATAACCCTTGTCCATAGTACTATAGTTCACCTTAAAAACATACATCATATGATTAATCATAAAAACTACAAAACTTAAAGTCTTTTTCAGAACCTACCTACCCAAGAACTTCTTTATTACTAGGCATATCTAAGAATCTAGTGAAAACTAGGTTCAGTGCCATGAACACTGTGCTCCTGCCGGTGTCATGGATCCTACACTGGTGCAACACCCAAAATCCCATGACGTTTGGGTCTTAAGCTGAGTACCCTAAGTACTCCATGTAGTACTCTGGACGTACATATGTGGGCCTGATAGTCCTTAGACTCTTTTGTTCTTAACGAAGTTGAAGTAAAACAGTAATTTCCACAAAAAATGAATGAAACACTTCTTTTTTTTTTTTGAGCGCTCACTCTTTTATTCAAAATGGAAAAACAGCTCTCAGCGAGCAGGAGAGTACAGGAGCAAGCAGGAGGGTGAACAGCAGTTCCGATCTGGCCGGGCCGCCGGGCGAGTGAGGCTCCCAACTACAGCTGGAGACTTGTCAACGTGGACAAATCCGCGTCCTTTCCACCTCCGCAAGGGGCCGCGGTGCGCGACAGCACCATGGAGCCCCGCGCCCGCCCGCCCAACACTTCATTTTTTGACTGGACAATAATTCTAAACTTCACAGGCTCAGTTACAAGGGAGGAAGAGCCTGGACTGGCAAGTAACAGCTACAGGAGAAAATGAAGGGTAACAGAAGAGGTGCTCAGAAAGGTACAACGAAAGTCACAGATGGGCCGGCCAGATAGCTCAGCGGATTAAACTGTCTGCTTAGGCAGACACACGGATCAGGTTCAAACCCCAGTATGCTGTGCTGAACCCTCCCCTGCTGACAGTCTCTCCGGGCCTGCTAAGACTGATTGAGACTGGGAATGTGGGTGCATGCCTATAATTCCTCCCTCTGGGAGGCTGAAAACAGGAGGATCACTACGAGTACAATCTGTGTAGTGAGATCCTCCACTAAATACATTTAAAAAATAAAAAAAAGTGACAGAGCCCTGACTCAGATATATTGGTGTGGGTAGAAATTCTTTGTGAGCTTGATATATATTAATTCTTGAAGAAACCAACTCAGGGTACCAGACTGGGTAGGATGATGTCCATTTGTGTAGAACAAAAGCGAAAAAGAGATACCAGTTTTATGAAGAATAAAATTTTTTTAAATTTGGGGTTTTTTTTGTGTGTGCTTTTAATTTGGGAAACCTCAATAGTACAATCTTGCCAAAAATATGTGTAAGGGAAGATACAAAGCTTCATTTGCTTTGAAGCAACATTTGCTTCCACCAGCTTCTAATTAAGAAGCATTTACCTTATCAAAGCTACTATCTCAAGAGAATAACTATTTCCAAATATGGACCTGAACAGCTGTGGCTTTGCTTGGAGACAAGATGATCCCTGGCTGTAAAATATGGTATGCTGTAGGATGTAGCTCAGTGGCAAAATCCTTGCCTAGCAAGTGTGAGGCTCTGGGTTCAGTCCCCAATACTGCCAAACAGGCATGCTATAGAAGGATTTGTGTATTCACACAACACCCCATCAAACACACAGAGCAGTCACTTGCTGTCAATTTTAGGTCATCTTTCTTTTTTTTTTTTAATTTTAATTTTAATTTTAATTTTTATTTATTTATTTTTTTTAGGTCATCTTTCTGACAATACATTCCATCACCTTTTCTGGGAAGAAAGAACTCTCTTAAACCTGGGCTCACATCAACATGGGGAACTCACTGCAGGCCACAGAGGGTAACAAGAGCATTCTGAGAGAAGTCTGTGGTCCTCTGCAGCTCTGAGCCTTAGATACTGAGACCAGCTTGCTTACCAGAACCAACTTAGGTTCTATGCAATGTACTCGTCTTTTCAACAACATGGGTTGGTGGCTCTTACCCTAAAATATGCGGAACTGAATCTCCCAATTCCCTCCCTTTCTTCATACCCCTGTTGTTTGAGCTAAAATAACATCAACATGATGTTCCAAATCAAAGTTCCAACATCCTTATTAAAAGGGGGGAAAAAAGCTCTGAAGTTAAAATGACCTAATTTGTTTGGCAGCTTATACACAGGCCAGAGGCTTAGAATACAAGCCACATTCCTCCAACATCTTTAGCAGCAACACCATATTTGGTAATCAATATCCTGCTCTGCTGAGTTTCTCTCCATAGGGATTAGCTATGCCCAAAACATTTTAAATGTTAAAGTATGATAAAGAGGAGACAAGAGAAGGCCAGGGTAAGTAAGAGAGAATACATGGGGGGGTGGGCAGAGAAGACCTGCAAAATACAGGAAAAAAATGGAAAAGAAAAGAAGTAGGAGACATGGAAAAGAATACCTTGTGTTTTTAATTAAAATCTAGTAAGATTTTAATTAAATGAGAAATTACCCTAAAATATGCTGAATTGAGTCTCAGTTCAGCATATATGCTAACTAGAGGCTATAGTTACCCTTCCACGGAATACTCATATCAGGTGTAAAGACACTGCAGACAAACAGCACATCTGCCTCTGGCTGTTTCATGTACAGCTGTTTTAAGCAAGGCAGCGAGTGCCTGGGAAAGCATTATGGCGGAAATAATGGAAGAGCATGAGTTCACCAGGTGGCAGTCAGTCCGGGAAAGGGCTCAGCACATTTCTGTGTGACAGGATGCAGACAGGGTGTGTCTTGTGGAGGGGGAAGAGGCCTGCAGAAGCAAGTTGGGGTGAGATCACAAAAGACCTTTTCTGCTCCCAGTGACAGCTCTGGAGTGTGTGCAAGCTGGAGAGCCGCAAAGGTTGATGTGTCGTGGAATCAACTAGAAGACTTGCTAAGCAGAGTGCCCAGCCCTGTGACAGTGTTGTCATTCAGCATGTCTGGGGTACACTTGACAATTTCCATTTCTAACAAGTTCTCAGGTGTTGCTGTGCTGCCTGTGCAGAGACAACATTTGAGAATCAAGGCTGTACAGGGTGTAACTCTACTGGTGGCAGGAAAGAAGGTGCGACAGACCAGGGGGGAAGCAATAAAGCAGCCTGCAATGAGAGGTGGGTTGGGATGGCTCGGATGATGGTTCTTTGGGAAGTGCACTCAAGGACCAGTGTTCCAAGCTGTACTCTCACCACAAGTGGTTTTTCAGACAGATGCTACTTGAAGTGGCCAAACAAGTTGTACTTTTAACAACTATCCCTACTCTTACCTAAAGGAATCATTACTATGACGCCAAATGAAGCTTTGGTAATTTTATTTCTTTACTATGTATCAGCTGTCTATTTCTCTTTGGGGGATTTCATCACTTTGAAGACAGACATACAAAAACTGGGAGTAGGCAGAGTTGAGCCCCCTAATCTTACTAGAAAAAGGTATCTTGCTGACATGCTCCTCATAGCACCTTAATACTCAACAAGCCTTATTCTGCACAATAAATTGTGTTTGAATTCTAGCACCCTAATACAATAAAGTGTTTCATTTCTATAAGGTACCATCTATGCGTGGGTCTTTATAATTATCCACAATTACAGTGAGTTTGTAGATCTTTGACACTTTTAGGATCAATGAAATCATTCATTTATAGAAAAACAGAAAGGTAAAAAATGAGGTCAAGAGATGAGTACTTACTAAATAAGATGTCCATGGCTATGCTACATTTGGTTAAAAAAAAA